ATCTTTTGATTGTTTCTAACCTATAAAAAAAACAGCTATGGTAAAAGTATTTTTTTTCACGCTGCTCATCTCATTAAGACCTGCTTCTGTACAAAATTTCAAGTTAAAATTCGAAACTCAATTTTCTTGAAAAAGATCACAGCATTCATGTATCAGTAAAAAACAAATATTCAATGTAATTGGAAAGATTCTCGACGAACCCGTTTTTACTATGTTCGCCTCAATCTGGAATACTTTTCATTAGAAATTGAAAAAACAAATATCTTAATACTTTGTAATGAAAAATAAAATACTACTTTACTATTTCATTGCTTTTAGAATCCTTTAGCTAGGGAAAGAATAAGAAATAAGTTCCGTAGTGTATGGTAAGAGTATAAAAAGTTATCTCAACCAAGATACAAGATACTAAAAAAAAAATACCGAGGCATCTCTCAGAACTCTTTAATAGCTGCTTCAAATTATGCACAATTTACATTTAACCTTCATAAAAATTGACTTATTTAATGATATATCTTATTTTCTATAGTATCTATATTTGAAATTTTTGTTTTCGTTGATACATAACAATCATAGTTGCAACTTTTTCTAATTCTTACTCCATCAAATTAAATATGTAATAGGTGAATATTTTAAACAATTCATATATTAGATAGTCACTTTGAATGGTTAAAAATCAAAAAGAAAAACACATAACAATTATGATTATAATCGATATGCTCATTGTTTTTGAATACAAATAGAAAAACAAATTCAATTAATTGAAAATTCATTGATTTCAAGAATGATTAATAAAAAAATTTTGAGATTCAATTTTTGGGATTAGAAAAAAACAAACAAACATAAAGAAAATTGAAATCATTGACTGATATATAATTCAAAATTTGATTTACATGAAAAATTAAATATAAATAGAAAATTATCTATTCTAATATTTTCATCTTACCTGAAGTTAATTCATTAAGAATAGCATCATAAAGTTTAAAATATGAATAAGTCGAAACTAAAAAATATAATGAAAATTATTTCTTTATGAAGAAAAAAAAACAAAAAAATTTTATATAAACCTATACAAATAACAATAGGAAATTTTGTTATTTGATTATTAGCATGTGTTACTCGTCGACAATAACCATATTCAACTTTTCCTATTGAATTTGTTCGTGTAAAAATATATGTTAATGAATCATCAAGTAAATTTTCTTCAGTTGTTGTTTTTTTTGAATTTAATTCTGGAAAACAAAATCTTTTATAATATGATATTTCTTCAACAATATTAATTTCATTATTATCACGTGGATAATAATCTAATAAAAGTTCTTTATCAATTTGTCCTTCTGATAATGTCATTAGAAATGAAAGTTTAAATAAATGTAAATCTAAATGTGATGAATTTAATATTGTATTATGACCTTCAAGAAATTTATTAAGATCACGTGGTGTTTCACGATAATCAATTATATATGATGAACGTAATGGTTGAAATAATTGTCCATCAAATAATGAACCATTTATAATTAATCCATTACCATGTGAAACATTATGATTATTAACAGTATTTGTTAAACGTTTTATTGATAAACGTCGATGATTTAATAATGTATTAGAATTTTGTTGAATATTTAAATTTGACCAAGATTTTGTATCATCTTCTTCGTCTTGTCCATCATTATTAAAACTTATATTTAATGAAGAAGTTTCATGTAAATGATGATCACTATGATTTGCTTTCATTGTTTTGTTTTCTTTTTTTTTTTTATATATTAAACTAAAAACAGATGAATATGTTGTCGATCAAAATTAAAATGCAACGAACCATGACCAGAAATCGAATAGAGAAGCAATAAAAGAAAATTTATCATTCTTGTCCGTCGTCATTTTTGTTCGTCATGTGATTTTTCGGGTTGGGTTTTTTTTTTTTTTTTTTCACTGTTCTTTTCGTTGTTATAGGGCAGTGAGAATATCAGTCGATAGAGAAAGAAAAACTGTGCACCTGTTGTCGTGATTAGACGTATATAAAAAAAAAGAGTATTATCGGTAACGTGTATATTTTTTGCGAATTATCATGATAAAGAAATAGTTTCAATAAAAATACGACTAAAGATATTAAATGACAAAATCAATAGATAAATGTAATAATTTAAAAATCTATACTGATATATGAATTAAATTTATGAGTCTATACGAAATAGAAGAAAGATTTTCTTCAAGTTTGAAAAAGAAATTACACAAAAAAATTAACATAATCATAACTCTGATTGTTGATAAATAATGTGCATAAATTTTTTTTTTTTTTTTTTTGGTCATATTTTTTCTTATCAATACAAGAGAAAATTTAGTAATGATTAATAATCATAAATTTATTCTACTTTCTGATCAATGAACCGAAATTCATTATTGGTTTTAGATAAAAATTGTAAATATTTCTTTTGCATAAAATTAACAGAAATTTTTTTCTTGCATTTCAATAACAAATGTCAACACTGATAAAGTATGAAATTGAGTTGCATTTGTTTTTTTTATTAAGGTTTTTATTTCTATTAAAATATGATGATTTCGTTCTCTCATGGTCATTTACCAGAATTAGATCAGTTTTTTAAATTGTCAAGTTTAAGTAAGAATTTTGTCAATGGGAAGGTACAAGTATGAAACTCCAGTAAAGAATTTTTAGTGCTCAGGTGTTGTGCTTATTAGGTCTACAATAGCTTATGATAAAAAGGTAGGGCCATCTACCTAAAATAAGGCTTTAATATTTCTTTTGATAGGAATTGATTAGGAACAATGGAAAAAGTTCAGCGATAAAACATTCAGCATTAAAGAACGTTTTCAGTATTGTATAGCATATAAGAGGGTCAGGCGGATGAAGATGTAAGTAATACTATTTGAAGTTGATTTTTACGATCAAGAAATTCGGATTTATAGATGGTCGGTTGAAATTTTCGAGTTCAGTTTTGTTGATGGCAGCGGATCTATTTTTTATGATTTATGAGGGTATCTATACAACTGATAATCTCCGTTTGAGCTCATACATAGGAGTCAGAGTATAGATAAAAATCCTGAAATGGTTTTTGCTTTCTGAGATAACGCGTTTGCAAAAAAATCGTTACTTTCACACAAGAGTTTCCAGTATAACTCAGTTTTTAAGCATACGATATCTTAAGAAGAGATCATATGTTTGAGCTGAAACTTTTAATATTTCATAAGAGCCGTGAGAGCTATTGTTAGGAAGGATTTCAAGCCGAAACTTCAGTAAAATAACTATAATTCAAGAAGAAAGATCTTTTCAGAATTTTTATCTACACTATGAATTCTATCTATGAACAATATATAAGCTCAAACGAAGATTATCAGTCGGATGGATTCCTTTGTTCGTCAAGTTTTATAAATTTCATCTATTATCTCTATATAGAGTCTTTCTGATGGAAAAAAACGTAAACTTGAAAATTTCAATAAAATCACCTATAGATTCCGATTCTCCAACGCCGAAAAATACTCTTGCCTTGATTGAAAAAATTTATTTAAAATTGTATTATCCTTATCTTAATTATCATTTGAGTTTCTATTCTATTTTCTAATTCTCTATGGACTTTACAGCACCTCAGCATAATTTAGTGCATGATGTTTGTACTTCCCTCCTAAGTTTTTACGCTGACATATTTGAATAAAAATAGGTTCTTCGTTATTATATGAATATAGACAAACAAAAGATAATCTCATCATAATTCTTGCTACAGATAAAAAAAAAAACTTTTAGCATAATTCATATCAGTACATTACAGAATAACATCAGGGTTGAACAAGAATTCTTTCATAACACTTGTCATAATTTATGTTGAAAATTGGCTCTTTAGGGTAAACTAAAAGAAGTAATAGTAGCCCTATAATACCTTATAGACGATCCGAGAAAATTCTGTCTCTCTCTAAACATATATACATATATATATATAATGATAATCTAAAAATTACACTAAAGTTCTATATTGTTTCATCATTCTTCAGTTAGTATGATAACATAAGAATTTCGATGAAAGCTACTCGTTGATGAATTAGATGGATAAGAAAAATCTACGCTTCTATTTTTAAATCTATACTGTAATATATTTTGTTTTCGTCGACTATGTTCCATCTTTCATAACAGTTGAAAGATGATATGAATAGCTTCATGACAATCTAGACGACATTGCAGCCGAAGAAAGACCTACCATCTCTGTAATTGAGATCATATCTTTCATCATCACCTCGAAGTCAGCTGTTTCGATATACAAGCAGCAGCAGCAGCAGCAATCTTTTTAAGTTTCCAATAATCGAAGATTGTATTTTGAATGGCACTATGATTCAGATAAGTTTTTACTTGCGATTCATCTATGACAATATAAGAATTAACATTAATAAAGCTATGAATCTATGATATCTTTTCAGATTTTATTCGGTTACAAGTTCAATATATCGTTCTTCATCGTCAACATCTTTTCGACCTTTATGAAACCATTCATGCCATCTTTCGGTTGTTCTTTCAGAGATGAAGCTCAATTATCAAAAACAAAAATAATACAGTATGGACTTCTATATAGAACCGTAAGTTTTTTCTTATCTATCTAATTCATAGGAGAATAGATTTCATCGTAATTCTAATATTATCATATCAACTGAAAAATAATGAAATAGTATAGAATTCTAGAACACTATTTGGATTATCAATATATATAGAAAGAAAATATTCTCGAGTCTTCTATAAGATATTATAGAGTTACTACAACTTTTGATATGTCTTTATATTATAACTGCAATCTTAAAATAAAATCAATATTAAAATATTCTTTCAAATCAAACATAAACAAGATGTTATATATAATTTGGGAAAAATAATTTTTAATTACACGAACAAAAAACTTTCATATTATATTTTTACAAATAAACATGATTACAACAATAATTTTCATTTATGAATTCAAAAAAAAAGGAGAAAAGTTTCATTTATTTTCAAAATAAGTTTATATTCAATGTTAATAATTTCGTCCTGTTTTATTCTTATAATTATTTGTTCCAAGTACAATTATTCCATTTTGATTATTTCGTCTATATGAATATGTTTTTGGTGTAAATAATTTTATTGGTGTTTTTTGTTGTCTTGTTGAATACATATACATTTGTTCAGTTGATGGTGTTGGATTTTTATATAAACGTTGAAAAATTCGACGACATAAATAAGTACGAAATAATTTAATTAATTCAGTACGAAAACGTGCACATGAAAAAATAAAAGCTAAAAAATTTATTGCATGATGAAAATGAAGAAGAATATTTGTAATTATATTTATAATATATTGATAAGGAGTAAAATTTTTTGTTATTGATAAATAAATTGTATGTATTGTTGAAGGTGTTACTGTTAAAACGAAAACTATAGATGATGTAACAAGCATTGCTGTTAATTGACGTTGTTTATTTGATAAATTTAATGTATCTATTGAATTATTATTTAATGTACGTTCAATACGTGATGCTTGAAAAAGACATTTTATTATAATAATATTACAAATAATACAAATTGGAATTGTTAACCAATATGTTAAAGCTGATCGTAAACATTCCCATACTATACGATGAAAATGTGGTTTATATGTACAAACTGAATATGTAACATTTGTTTGATTGGAATTAGGAAAATATTCCATATTTAAATGTACTGTATAATGACTAAATATAAGTAATGATATAATAAATAATACAATAACAAATATAAATGTTTTAATTCGACTGATCAAACGTGGTATATGACATGGATTAAATACAAGTGAACAACGTTCTAGACTTATAAAACAAACAATCCAAACAGATAAAAGACGAAATACATCCAGAAAAAAGAAAACAATACAATCATATGATGTTACTGGTAAATAAAGTTTTCCAATAATTTGTAAACTCTGTAAACAAAGTACACTACAATCAGCAATACACAAACCTGAAATTAATATAGCTGATGGTGTTTTACGAAAGAAATGTTGATGAAGTATAATTAATGTTAATAAATTTCCTGTACATCCAAATACAGTTAGACATAATATAGATATAGTTCGAATTTGTTCGATGAACAACATCTAAAATTATTAAATTTTTTAGTTTTTACAATTAAAATCAAAAAAAAATAAAATAAAATGAATATAGATAAATTGCTTATCTTTATCTCAAGTTGAAAAGAACTATGAATAAAATCAATCTGATTATAAAGAGTCATGACAGGTCATCATGAGGACATTAAATACCAAAACTGTCGACCCCTCAATAGGTGATAACATCTCTTATCACACTTTCACTCGAAATGTCATTTAAATATAAAATACATTCGTTACTTATGAATAATTATAACTAATCACGCAATACATTATACCATTTTTTTTTTTGGTATCTGTTCTCAGTCAACATTATTTATATCTTTTTATCTACCAGAATACTTGTATCTTGTGAGTGTGGACAAAGAACAACATTTGGTAATTGTTTGTATTGTGTATATGATGGTGAAATAACAAATGGTACGACAAGGAGAAGGAGGAAAACTGAAGTGTATATATATACATTAAGACATATATAACAGCAAGGATCTGCTATTACATCCGCCTACTTTATTCACGTTTCCTAAGTAATTAACAAAAAAAATAAGAATCGAAATTCTTTTTAGGGTTTTCTTTTACTAAAATTAACTTATAAAAATTTATGTCTATGATGTCAAATCACTGCATTCTATTGAAGCGAATATACGATGTATTACAGATTGTCATTTCTAGAAATATTTATGACAATAAATATTTACATATTTTTACAAATATTTTTAGTTTCTTGTTCTCTTAAGAGTTTCTTCTTTACATACCGATTAATGATTTATTTATAATAGTTATAATATTCTTAATAACAAAAAAATGAATAAAATTAATTTTCGAATATGTATAATTTTATCTTATCATGCGTACTTTTCCTTTTTTTTTTTTGATGTAAATAAAAAGTATTCGGAAATGTAAAGAATGCTTTTCTAATGTATTTTTTCTGCTGTTGTTATTATTGTTGTCTGTTGTTATTCATCTTTTGCTCGATTATCCTGCAGCCAATATAATTGATTTAAAATCCATACGAAGAAAAAATGATGCGTTTATGATGTGTGTATGTTGTCCTTTATATGTTTTGTTGATTTCATCATCAGTTAAACTAATCTAAAAATAGTATGTACTATAGCAACAAAAGGTCTTCATTAATTTAGGATGATATATAGACTGTTGATAAAAGCATTTCATATTTTTCTTTGTATATATTGTACATGGAACATTAGTCTCAGGAAAAATATAAAACTGTCTTTTTGATTATAATTTTTAAAAAATAATATACGATAATTTTATGGTTTTACTATTCAAATATTTCGACAAAAAAAAAAAGATCATCTCAAATTTTTATTTGTATAAAAAATAAATGTATGAGAAAAATTCCAATAATTAGTTTACATGATTTTGCTGTAATTTTAGAATATTATATTGAAAAAGAAAACAAATATTTCTTAAATGTAGTTAGAACTAAATAGGAATTAAAGAGATTAAATATGACATATAGTAAAAACTGATGAATTTATGAGTATTTCTTTTTTTTCAAAAAACTGACATATATCAAAAATAAGAATTAAAGAATATAATTCATCATTCTCTCTACTTACCTGGAAGTTTGCTAATATTTTGTCTGTACCTTTCGGTAATCTTTAATTGTATTCTAATGAAGTATAAACGAATGTTTTATATTTAGAAATAATATTCTATTTCTTTTGGCTCTTTAAGATTACTTTATAAATTTTTCTTCCTAACATGTATAAAGTCATAGAACAAATATTTTACTAGAATAACATTTTTCCTTATGAATGGTAATGTTAAAATTATTCTCAATAGACTTGATATTCAATGATTAATTATTGATAATAATCGCCTTCAAGATATGAATCTATAAAAGACATTTGAATATTGATTCAATAATTAATCATTTTATTATTTCTTCTTTTATTCCAATGGGATAATAATAATCAGCAATGTAAATATAGTAAAAACGAATACAAGATATAGAAATAATGGATATTTTTCTTAATAAAATTCGACTCGAAAAAATGTATAATAATCAATATAAAATACAAATCTTTGGCAGATTATTTATCAAAAAAAAGCAAAAATAAAAATTTCAAGCATTGTTTTAATTACTGATATATAATAATAAGGAAGTATAACGATATTCAGTCTTTGAATAATTATCTTAAAAGAATTTTTTTTTTTTTTTTGAATCATTTTTCATTTTAAAAACTAATCAAATCTTCACTAGAGTATCATACAGTTTTTAGTTTGATGTCATATTGACAAGAATTTAATCCTTGATAATGGATATGTCTAAGTTGTTAATTCTCTTTTCGGCTGTCACATAAATTAATTATTGTCAGCCTAGACTATGAATGCTTCGCATTTCCTCTGTCAACATTCTGAAGAACATTTGGTATTATATACTAAGAATCTCTTATGATTATTTAAAAGTATACTTCATAAAACTTAGATATACTTTATTAAGAAACTATTCATTAATTCTTTTTTTTTTTTTTTTTGCTCATAACTCACATAGAAATGATATATTCAGACAAGAAAAAAAAAAGACTTTATTCTAATTTGTTGAATTGTGTAATTATATTTCATAAACTGTTATAAGCATGAAGAATATTAATGTTATTGCTATTCTTTCTTTGTTTTTTCTTGCAGCTGTACAAGTTTTTTCAATAACATCATCAAAATCATTCAAGGATAAGACAATACAATATATATATATATATATTTTTTCCGTCTGCGCTAATATTGTATATAATAATTTCTTTGTCTTCTTTTCCTATAAGTTTACAATCAAATGTATTGCATGAAATATCGTTTTATCGAAGTGACATCAAAATGATTTGTGTTACCATTGTTAAAACGAGAATAATTCTCTCTTTTTTTTTTTTTGTGTATATATGGTATACAAATTGAACAAAAAAAAAAGAAAAAAACAAAATACAAATGCAAAAAAAAAGAAAAACTCAAGTTTTTTTTCTCTTTTTCTTTTGTTTGTGTCTATCATACAGGAACAAGAGAGCGTAAAAGATAGGAAAAAAAAAAAAGTGAGTGCATTATACAATCCCTCTCGCGCCATACACGGAAGTGCATCAATAAGAAATAAAAGAAGAAAGGACATGGTGTGTTTGTAACAAAATAACAATCCTAAAATCGCCATCATCATCATCATCTTATTGTCGTATCTTAATAAAACAATAATCTTTTCTTTCTTTACTATACATACATACACACACATGCATACGATGAAAGAATAGAACAGAAAGAGAGAGAGAGAGAGAGAAAGAGAGAGAGGAGAAAGGAAGAAATTTTCGTTGTTAGTTGTTTATCGGCTGTAAAATGGTATTAGTTGCAGTAGGCCACAGAAAACCTTGAGCTGTATACATAGAGATACGCACAAAAAAGAAGACAAGATGGAGAGAAAAGAGAAAAAAAAAGAAGCCAGAAAAAAAAAAATCGAACGATAATGGGTAACAAACATCATTATATCATCTCAACAGTTGAATAAACCAAAGAGCAAGGGATAAATTTAGAAAAAATATGGCAATAAACACTCGATTTCGATAGATGACATTCTAGAAAAAAGAAAACAAAAAAAGAAAACAAAAAAAATTGATACAACTAACATATATAATTATAATTAATAAAGAAAAATAAATCTTATACCTGAATGCCATCATTATAATTGTCCGTTTGTATCGATATCTCTTGGGTAGATACATGCATATTGGTAACGATAGTTCGGCCAGTAGCAGGAATATCAGACTGCAAAACATGCACATGCAAAAAACTAGTTTTTTTATCTCTAGAGATGTAACTTATTGATCAATTTTTCCCATGATACACATTTAATATTAATCGAACTCGAGAAATTTTCTTTATTCTTTTTTTTGTTTTTTCTTGCTCTATTACTCTTTTAATGTTTCTTTCAGATATACGTCAATATGTATGCAATCGATGTTAATCATCGACAGCAGTTAACATTACTGAGATTCAACGAGGCGAATACTTATTTTTAATATATATCATAGGAATAGATACATACAAGGATAAAAGGAAAATATCAATTGCAAATGGTAGACAACACAAGCAGACAGAAACTTAATGATTGATTTACAATGATGGATGGGAATTTTTAGTTTACGGTCTATTTTACTCGAAAATACGATAAATATCTATCTATTTATCATAGGACAAAAAAAAAAAAGATATTCAAAATATCGTGCATAGATTAGTTAAACCATGCAAAATTGTGTTTTTTTTTGTTTTTTGCTTCATACCTTTAATAAAGTTTTAACACGGCCCATAGTTGTTGAATCGAAATCACGTTGACGTCGTAATTCTTCTCGTCGTTGAGAACCAAGCTTTGATGCTTCTTCTCTTGATATACCTTAACAAGGACAAAAAAAAAAAATTACAAAAGAAAATTTCTTTCTATCTTTTTGTTTTTTTTTTTTGAAATAAATTTACTAGGAGCTTCATGTCGATGTCGAGCTATATTGACGACTGTCGGCATACTGCCACGTTTATTTCCACCGGTTTTAGTTATAATTGATTTTGGTTCATTTAATTTTGTAACACTTTCAAGTATAACACGATGAGCAAGTATTGGTGAACCACTACTACTCGTCATTACAGTTGCTTCTGGTATAATTGAACCACTTTCTGTATATGTTGGTACTTGTGCTGTAACACGTTTACGTATACCATTTTCAATAATAAATGTTTCTTTTTGTTTTAAATTATCACTTGATCGAGCTGTTTCATCAATTTTATAATCACCAGGTAAAATTTTAACAATACTTGGTAATGATTTTCTTTTAGGTATAGGAATTGGTTGTGGAACATTGTATACATCAATAATTGGTGTTGTTGATCGTATTATATTTGTTGGATTAGTTAAATTATATATATGATGTTGTTCAGGATCGAAACTAGCACCACCAGAACTTAAACCAGAATCTTGACCACTTGAATTTTGAGAATCT